CGGTCCCTCTCTCACCCCCCCCGTTTTTATTTTCTGGGATTTTCTGAGAGCACAAAAGAGACTTTGCATCAATTACTCGTAGGAAAATGGCAGCACCCTGCGGCAGACTTCTGCGCTCCCCGGCCGGGGTTTGGTTAACTTCCCATTGTCTGATGGGCTCTGCAATTCAGGGCCAGCGCGAGGGCTCCGGTTTTTTTCGTCTGCTGGGTTTTTTAACCACCCTGGGATCATAAAACCTTCCTGCCCTTGTGGCAGAGAGTCTGGCTGCGGAGAGCAGAGCACGTCGGTGCCTCTCCGTCCAGCACCCAAGCCTCCCGCAACGGGTGCTCCTGATGCATCTCCTGATGCTGACCTGTCCCCGTCCCCATCATCCCCCCGACGTGCGCTGGCACCGCTCTGCGCTGGGACCTGCTGCAAACCCCATCCACCCTCCACAGCCTCAGACCCTACGTCTCTCCCCTTCCACCTCGGGGTCTGCGGGTCCCCTCAGCAGGGCGGGGGGGGACACGACGCGATCCGTGCGGGGCACTTGGAGGTCCCACGGGGCCGGGGGGCTATACAAATGCAAAGCGTTATTATTTTCCCGGGGGCTGAAGCAGAGGCCTGAGAAAGGTTGAGCGAGAGAGGCAGCGAGCAGGGAACAGCGGGGGATTTAGCTCCTGAAAAGGAGCTGGGGGGAAAAAAGCGGGCGAAGAGCTTCATTGTGCGCCGGGCAGAGGGGGTCACGAGCAAGTTAAAATGGTTAATGTATTGGAGCAGCTTCCTCCGAGCTGCTGGGAGCCAGCAAAGCCCTGCAACAAAAGGCCGAGGGAGCATTCTTGCGGGGAAAGTGGGCTCTCTTTAAAAGGATTTGATTTCTTTTCTGTCAGTTGAATGGAATTTGGTGGTGACTCCTCCAGGTGGGGGAGAGGGGCTTGGGGAACACAAGCGGCCCCGTAGACGCGCTGATCCTGAAAGAAAACGAGGGGCACAGGGCCGTCCCTGCCCGGCCTGGTTTCTCATGCTCCCTATTCAGCCCAGGGAGGGGACGTGGATGCGGGGAGCGAGGAGGGCGGTGGGGCGGCCGCCGCTGATTAAATGCCTCGCTCGGGTCTTCACGGTCGAGGTGGATCTCGAGGGGGTTTTGACAGTGTAAAATGTGCAAGGGGAGCTTTCCTCTCCTCCCTTTGGGGAGTGAATTTTTACTGCTAAAACCATGGAAAGAAGGTAAAAACAGGAGGGAAAGTGAGCCCGAACTAAGTAAATAGGCTGGACCTCTCTGCTTTCCCGCAGCCTGTGCATCTCTCCTCCCAACAGCAGCTCCTGGTGCAGACCTGGCGTTACAGACCTGGCTCTTCCACCCCAAAATCCCCTGAATGGTGGGCAGGAGCCCCCCCCTCTTCTCCAGGCTGTGGAGGGGGGAACTGCTGCCGGCCAGGGATTCTGGGCTGGGCTGGATGCAGGCTGTCTCCGGCTGCAGGTCTCGCATTTGGTGTTTGCCCTGACAGCAAACCGGGGGGCTTTAGAGCAGTCGTGGGCTGGGGGCTTGCTGTTGCACACTGCTTAGGTTTAACTGGCAGTGTGGTTCTGGGGTGGTAAAAGAAAACACTTCATTACGCGGAGCTGAAGTGACTCATGGCCCTGTGCTCACAAGCTGTCACAGAGCCAGAGTCTTCAGCAGCGGTCAGCTAGGTGGACAGACAGACAGACAGAGGCAAGTGGGGCAGCAAAGGATCCCACCAACGGTGCCCAGCTCACTGTGCCTCAGTTTCCCAAGAGCTGACGTACCTCCAGCAGAGACGCCGCGGTCCCTGTCCCCTGGGCAGCCGCCTGGTTGGGAGATTCCCTGCTGGGCTGCCCACAGAGCCCGTACGTGTCTGCCTGTACAGGCAGAGCCAGAGCACAGCAAGCTGAGGTCATGGTTCGCCGCAGATGACGGCCAGCCTGGCCCAAGCTCCTTCCAGCCAGAGGTGCAGTCAGAGGAGCTTTCAGCTCCTGGCCTTTAGTTTCTGGCCTCTCATTCTTCCTGGCCCCAAATTTTTTCACGTTCCTGTCCCGAGATGTCCCTCTCCCCACTGCCTTTCTGAAGATGAGCCAGAAGCTGATGTCAGGGGAAGCGTTTAGAGATTACCCCAAGGAGGAGGCAGGAGTCCAGTCTCATACTGGGCTGGACTGGGCTGCATGAAATCCTGGTGAACCCCCTGTCCCGTCTCCAGCAACCAGAGTAGAAGGAACAGCAAATAAAGGCAAGCTGATCCCAGACCCCAGCCCAGCCAAGCCCTACCCTGTGTTTGGCAGCAGTCGCTGTGGGTCCTGTGCAAAGGGAGCGGAGGCAAGAACAGAGGGAGGCAGAATCGGGAGCAGGTGAGGTCTGGCCCTGAAACGCCGCACCTCAGCCCAGCTTAGGGCAGAGCCCAGCTGTTCCCAGCTGTGCCAGCAGCACAGGAAGGAGCAGTGCTGGGACCCTCCCCTGATGCTGCATCTGGGAGCTGAGATGAGCCCAGGTGGCTGCCTGCTCATAGGGCTCCCCTCCAGCTGAGTGACTCCCTAAATCCCTTGCTTTAAGGTCCATGTTTGATGCAATGGCTGGTCCCCGTGCACGATGGGACCCCTGCCCCTCCTTTCCTGCCCACAGCTACCTACAGCTCCAGGTCTCCACAACCTCCCGGGGAGAGGGAGCCGGGGAGAGGACTGGGGATGCATTTTAACTCCCTGCCCGGACCTGAGCATCTCAGCGCCCGCAGCTCGCCCCGGGGCAGTGATAGCTCCTGCAGCCGCCCGTACACACCCTCTGCATCCACCCCAGATCAGATACGTGTGTCACCCTGGCCCCAGTACACTTTTGCCAAGGCCATTTCCAAACGCTGGCTGCCCCCAGGGAAATTGGCTGCTTTCTGAGCCCCCACAGCTGCTTGGCTTATTCCTCGCCCCTGGGGTGTCCCAATGAAGTTGCCGAGCAGTTTTTCAAAGGTAGATCAGCGAGGCAATATTCACCCACCGCTTCCTCCAGCTTGCCTTGGTGGCCCCTTCCCCATCACACCCCTGGGAAATTGTTCTCTCTCTTCCCATTCCCCCTGCAAAGGGGATTAAAAGCAACAGTTAATTTTTCATGTGATGTTAGTTTAAATAGGAATTTCGCTGTTCTGACTTCGCCTGGTTTCCGGGAGCCGAAGCTGAGAGAGGGTGGTATTAGCGCTGTGCGAGGCAGGGAAGAGGAGGAGGGAGGTGGGAGTTGAAAGGGGGAAAAGGGAGGGGGACGTGCGGGGGTGAAGACGGGATTAAAACATCCCATTAGAATTTCTGTTTTTGGAAAGCTCACAAAAATGTTGACATGTAGCATGACTAACATAGTGCAAATGTCAGCCCGGCTCTGCGAACGGGGGCCCTCGCTCTCCTCCCAACACCCTGGCCCCCTTTTAAGGCAAAAATATACAATGAGCCGCACAATGGCCAAATTCCAGAGAGCAGCGCTAATTGTTCCTTGCTCACGTCGGGCTAATTGCTCCGCTGAAACCATTCGTGCCTGGCCTGGATCCCACGTGTTTTTACCATCTAATTAGGGCAGAAAAGCTGGGGCCAGAAAACGGGATGAGATAAAGGCAGGCAGAGCTGGAGGACAGGTTGGGTGCCCTAACCTGGAGAGATGTGCTGTGCGTGCTCTAGCAGGCGAGCAGGCAGGGAACAGCCTCTGCACCGTGCCAGCCTCCAGCGGCATTGAAGATGCACAGGCACTCGGGAGGGAAGCGGAAGGCTGGGACGGCCCATGAGCCTGGTGAGACCAAATGTGAGATGGAGAAATGCCACCAGTGGCAAACGTTTGCAAGAAACATCTTCATCCAGCTGCTCGGTGACTGCTGCAAGGCTCGTACAGACAACAAGGATATGCGTGTCTTCACCCGGTGTCCGAATTAGAAGGTCTGTCTGTTTGCAGACCATGTGCAAAGCTTGATCAGGACCCAGAGCAGGGAACAATAGATGGACAGGAAAAGCCTTTTGGTGGCTGCTTATTGTCTTCCACCTTCTGGGGAACTGGAAGTTTAACTATAGTCTTCCTCTTTCAGGTATTCCTGTACGGCTTCTTGAGTCCTCGGAGGATGCTCCTGGACCACAGCATCGCCTGGCGCTGGGCTCCATTGTGCTGAGGAATGTGCATGTGGTTTTCCCCTTGAATAGCTCCCCTGAGACCACAGCGACCTAGAACCGCTGCAGGGCCCCAGCACATCCCCTCCGGGGAAAAAGGGTTTGCTTACGGGTGCCACTGCCTCTCCCGAGGTGCAGCGCAGCATCTCAGCTGCCTCTCACCCCGCCGCTGGGCTGCAGGTGATGCCACTCCCCGTGTTGTAAGCAGGGGTGGGTGCACAGGGTGTCATATTAGCACTCCCTTCCCCTTCTCCCCATCCATCTTGCAGAGCGCCATTTGCTCCACAGTGTCCTCTGGGAAGCCTTCATCCAGGCTGCACGGTTTCATAGGCAGAGAAAGCCACTTAATATGTATGATCTGACACTGAAGTGCAGCCTCTTCTAGGGTGGATCCCGATGCAGCTGATCTGTAACTCGTGGAGGCATTTCATCTCCCCGTGAATGCAAACAGCTGGGCATTCCTCCATTGCCCATCTACACATCTTCCTCTGGTGAGAGCCACCAGCAGGAAGCCACCAGCGTTGCTTCTGCGAGCGGGGTTTGATTCACTGGTCTCACAGAAGCCTGTACCAGCCGCCAACCCCCCTCAAGAGCTCCCAGCACTTTGGATCGCAGCAATACAATTTGCACTTGGCAAGATAAATTGCTTGGTGGCCTCCGTGTCAGAACAGCTCTTGGCCTTAGAAGAAATACTCCTGGTGGGTTTGGGTGCTCAGCAGAATCGTTTCAGATTGGTGTGAAAAGATCGCAGCACAATTCGAACTGCAAATCTCAAAGTCAGCCTGGCTCCAGCCTCTGTTAGCGCTGCAGAACAGCCCCAGGAGCTCTGCTGCTGGGCTGTCACACCCGTGTGGGCAGGGCAGCTGCGACATTTATGGCTGAAGGCGTTTCATTCCAGTTGTCCTGGAGATGAGGGGCGTGCTTGGACTCTGCATCCCTCCCAACCCAAGTGTCTCAGCCTTCAGGGCTCTTGAAAATAGAATTAGGCACACAGAGCCCAACCACGAGCAGTTATGGAAACCACTGAAAACAGGGAACCCAAACTTGAAATGTTCTCCAGAAAATCTGCAATTCTCTGTCCCACTATAACTACGGTGATCTCTCTGTGTTTCCATGAAAGCCCGTCAGAGCACACCCACACCCTGAGGACAAGGATGTTAACAAACACTGGAATTTACAATAGCGATTTATTCAGAAGAAAGGCTCCAGGTGAAAAGGACCGATACTTTAAAAAGAGAGAAAGTATTCTTCATAGATGCAAATGCAATACTTGTAAGTCAATATTTGCTCTTGCAATATTGGCACACGCAGAAACGGTTTTCCAACATGAATAGGTTTCAGCCCAGCTGCTCCAGGATTGTGTTGTTCAGAAGTTTTCAGATCCACTTCTTAAACTTCATTAAAAACACAGTTTTTTTAAAGCCTTTGGGGAGCTAACAGCCTTTTATGACAAGTCCTTCTAGCCATTGAAATACACCAGCGCATGGGGTGGCCTGGTGGTAGCTAACCAAGAACAGATGATCCCTTTGAGAAGAGAATATTTAAAACCCCAAAACATAGACAAGTCAGAGCAAATCCATGTGGCAAGAAGAGAGTTGAGAACATTTCTTCCCAGATCAGTCAGTCATAGACAAATCCCGAGTTGATATTCAGTCCAGGACTAACCCCCCGCTCCACGCATGTTTCCAGCTCCCTCCTTGGGCTGGAACCTCACACCAAGATGCCCAGCGCTGGTCACTCATTTGGGGCTTTGAGCCTTCCCCTTGAAGTTCCTCTCACGTGTGTGCGAGCAGGGTGCCTGGGAAGCCCGGGTGACATTAGGACCTGCTGGCCAGGCACAGCCCTTGTGTACTGCAAGCCAACGTCCCTGCCCCAGTCCCCTATGCCTGTCCCACACACAGAGCCCAGGGGGGAAGTCCCCAGTCAAGCGATGTAGAATGATGCTCCCATCACCCAGAGAGGCCAAGAAACTTTCTTCAGACCTGGATTTTTTTATGAAAAAGAGGAAACAGAGTCAAAATACTGGGAATTAATTTTCCTGTCTGTGAGGGGAGGAGAAAATAACCCAGCCTAGCCACTGTGCCGGGTGTTCTGGGGGCAGCTGTCCCAGTTTGCGAGATGCCCTGGGGCTCATGGACAGCCTTTGTCCCCTGTCACCCTGCTGTAACAAGACGAGCCAAGAAGCAAACACATGTACTGTAGGCTGGGAAACCAAGCTGTGGTGGAGAACGGCGCAATATTTCTGCATACCACCAGGGAAAAACTTGGGTCAGCGATCATGCTCAAACCCTGGTAGCAAAAATTGAGGAAACTCCTTATTCCTGTTCCCCATGGCTCAGAAAGGTTTGTGTCAGGAAGGGTGGAGGCGACGTGTTTTGTACTCTTGGAAGGGACTAGACGTCCTCGATAAAGCGATTGCTCCTCTTGTTGCTGCAGAACGGCCTCTGTCCTTTGCCCCTTCAGGGTCCCCTTTGTCCCTCATTCCCTGACCTTGAAGGACCACATCTAAAGATGACAAGGTCATTTCTTTTGGGTTTATTTCAAGTGTTGTCCAGCTTGAGAATTAACTGCAATCTCCATTTAGGAATAGCATCCTGGGTGTGGGCTGTCCAATCTGGTGGAGAAAGGACATTATTCAAGAATAGTTATCCTGGTTTTTGCACTTGGAATAACATGACTTTTATTATGGAGTAAGCTGGCTGCTGGCTGCTCATCTGGAAGAGGGCACAGGGACCATGCCAAGCCACCTTCCCTGTAGGAAGCGGGACCGCAGCCAGACA